AATCAGGTATAGTCTTGCAGGTAAAGTGTCCCCTCTTACACATTACCTAATGGTATGAAAAGAACTGGGGTAAGTGTAGTCCTAACTCCCATTTTGAAAGAGGAGAGGGAAAACACAGAACAATTACTTACCATGTGATGCTCGACAGGAATAAGGAGCATTGCTCACTCAAGTCAGGGAAAAAAAAAATCTCCCTTACAGCCTTTGTTCATTTCTAGGTCTACTGCATTACCAGGAGACTCACCTTGCATTGGCTCACAGGCTAGAACATGCTCAGATTATTACCATATTACAATTTTCAGCAATATGATTCCTTAAATATTCAGCAAGCTCAGTGGTTAAGAACACTTGTTGCTCTTGTAGAGAACCCAGGTTTGATTCCCAGGACCTACATGGTGGTTCACAACCATGGGGAACGCCAGTTCTGGGGATTTGATGTCCTCTTCTGACATTCTCAGGTTCCAAGCACATAAATGGTGCACACATATTCATGTAGGCAAAACCAGTCACACATAAAATAAAAATGAAAAAATCAAAGATGTTTTTAAAAATCCCAGCAGGCAGTGCTGGAGATGACTCAGAAATTGAAAGCACTCATTCTTCCACAGGGCCAGGGTTTGATTCCCAGCACCCACAAGGTGACTTACAACCATTTGTAACTCTAGTCCCAGGCGAATCCAGTGCCCTCTTCTGGCCTCTGTGGGCACTGCATGCACATGGTGCACAAACATACATAAAAGCATTCACACAGACACACACTCAATGTTTTTGTTTTAATTCAGCAAGTAAGAGAACTAATTTGAGGTCAAGCTCATGTCTTCATAATGCCACAAGGGGACACAGGATCCCTTTTTCAGGATCTTGGTTACATCACTTAAAGTCTAAAAATGGATTCGTCAGGGAACTCAAAGACTACTTCACTGGAGTGAGACAAAATAATAGGGCAGGCAGGCAAGCTGGAAGTCTGTGCGTTGGTTTGGCAGAGGGAAGTGGAAATAGGAGGACGGTTATATTTGCTGAGCTACAAGTCAAGATTGCAGGCAGGTCAGCAGTGGGAGTCTGCATTCACAGGACACAGTTGGGGAGAGATGAGCTTCAGAGCAAGTGAGATGTTCAGTATCAGGCAGACAGGCTTGGGGGGGAAGTTGGGGAGAGGAACATTACAGTTTTTAGGTAGGAACTAGTTATATGTCTTTCTTATTATGTGGTTCTATCAGCTAGAAGAGAGGACTTTCAAACTGAGAAAGCAGCTCTGAGAGCATCATGCTTTATTTTCCTGTCGTTTATACTTTAAAATCAAAACAGAAAAATGTTCTCAGTCCTTCAGGTTCTTAGGCTTTGGTTGAAAAACACCTTCTCAGAAAACTAAACTATGGAAGCTAGAGTTTTATAATTTTCTTATTAATTAAATATATATATATATATGTGTGTGTGTGTATATGAATAGGTACATATAGGTACATATAGGTACCTATTTTAGATGAGTATATATGTATTCAGAGGCTTTGTTCTAAGCTTTAACACTTTTGTCCTTGAGGCAATATTCAAAAGGAGGCTCTTGCAAAGAAGAATTCATTTTTAATCTCAGACTATTATTATTTCGGCACATAGACTATTTTGGCACTGTATCTTCTATGTTTACACTGCTGGGAGATTGTTTGTGATGTTTTGAAAACAAAAATATTACCATAGCCATTTATCACTGCACTGTTAAGTATGACAGCCTCTAGCCACACACTCTAGTGAACACAAGATGTGGTTAATTGGAATTGAAATGTACTATAAAAATAAATAAAGTGAGCCAGGCGTTGATGGCGCACGCCTTTAATCCAAGCACTCGGGAGGCAGAGGCAGGTGGATCTCTGTGAGTTCGAGACCAGCCTGGTCTACAAGAGCTAGTACCAGGACAGCCTCCAAAGCCACAGAGAAACCCTGTCTTGAAAAACCAAAAATAAATAAATAAAATGGATACAGCATTTCAAAACCTACAATAAATGTAAATATCTCCCCAGTGAATTTTTAAAAAGTATACAACTTTTTTAAAAGTGTTAGACCCCCCGGAAAACTCAGGTATCCAGGGTCCCAGGCCACATTCTCGGTCACCCCAATCACCAGGCAGATTCGAAAGCTTGTTGCAAACTGCACAAGGCTTTATTGTAATTTAACGAGCTAACCCCATGTTAGCTCGGGTCTTTTACCCACCCGCCATGGCAGATGGCTAGCAAAAGACGGCTCCTAGGGCCTCCCAAGAGATCTTATAGGACAGCGTAAGGGGAGTGTCTAGGGGTATGCACAGGCCCAGGATTGATGTGCCTCCAGGCTTGGAGGGCTTGCCCTGTGTTGATTGGTCAACTGGTTGTTATGGCCCATAGGCCCTCCCAGGGTGGTTGCTATGCTTTCTACATCATTGCTGTGTGCTTGTCCGTAAAGCACACCCAGAGTCATAAAGCATAGCGCCACCAGCTAACTTCTGATTGGTTCCTTGTCACGAGGCAGGCATCTGACTTTCTAGTGACTAACTTCTGATGGGTTCCTAGTCACGAGACAGGCATCTGACCTCTAAGAAACCAAGGCAAATTTATGGCAAGCACATGTTCGGCTGTTATGGCTGCTGAAAGGGGAACAGGTCCCTTCAACGGTTTATTTTATGTGTAGTAGTGTTTTGCCTGCATGGGTGTTCATGCAGCACACCATGTGTGTACCTGGTACCTGTGGTGGTCGGAAGAGAGGCTGGATTCCCTGGAAATGGAGATAGGGATGCTCGTGAGCCACCATATGGGCTCTGGGAACTTTTCTTAGTTATGGTTTCTATTGCTGTGAAGAGCGCCATGACCACAGCAACTCTCATAAAGGAAAACATTTAAATGGGGATAGCGTACAGTCTCAGAGGTTTAGTCCATTATCATCATGGCGAGAAGCATGGCAGTATGCAGGCAAATACAATGCTGGAGGAGGAGCTGGGAATTCTGTATCTTCATCCACAGGCAGCAGGAGACAACTGGGTGCCACCCTGGGTATATAGGTTGAGCATATGTGACTCCAAAGCCCACCTTCACGGTGACACACTCGCTCCAACAAGGTCACATCTCCTAATAATGCCACTCCCTCTGGGCCAAGCATTCAGACACAGGAGTCTGTAGGGGCCATAACTATTCAAACCATTGCAGAACTGAACTTGGGTGCTCTGAAAAACAAGAACCACTGTCCCAGCCGGGTGGTGGTGGCACGTGCCTTTAATCCCAGCACTCAGGAGGCAGAGGCAGGCGGATCTCTGTGAGTTTAAGGCCAGCCTAGTCTACAAGAGCTAGTTCCAGGACAGGCTCCAAAGCCACAGAGAAACCCTGTCTCGGGAAAAACAACAACAACAACAACAAAAAACCCCACTGTCCCTAGTGAAGTATACTGTTAACTAGATACTGAAATGTTTTTTTTTTCTCCAATTTGATTTCATCCCCCCCTTTCTGTAGCTACTAGAAAACATAAAGTAGCATATGGGGCTTGTATTGCATTTCTACTTTCCAGTGCTGCTCTACACCCTGAATAAGTGTTTGGTTCAGTAGAGAAGGGAAAGGAAGAAGGAAGGAATGGCAGCATAGCTTCAAAGAAGTTTTAGTGTGTTGCCCTCTGCATGAGGTTATTTGTTTTCAGTGCTGAGAGTGAACCATGGCTTTGTGATGCTAATATATGTCACTAAGCTGCATTAAGTCCCTCTACAGTAAAAGGCAGTTTAACTCTTAGTCTAGAGGGTTTGGGTTTGCTTGTTTTCATTTCTGTTGTTTTGCTATTTGAGACAAGGTCTTCTTTTATGGTCTCAGGTTGCTTTGAACTCTGAATCCTCCCACATCAGCCTCCTGAGTGCCAGGATTACAGATGTGTACCACTATGCCTGGCTCTTCAGTGTTGTTAATCCCACAATCTATAATGTGATAGGGGTTATAGTAGAATGGAGACTATTCACCTCTAGTAGTGGGAATGAAGCATCACCTTATTACTGTCATAGTCTCCAGATTGCCTGATGGGTGGAAATTATCTGGTCAGCATGAATCTCGTTCAAGACAGTGGAGGGTACTTAGTGAGGCATTGTGCCAGGCCATAGTAAGAAGCCAGTGTACCTTGTTTTCCAGGGATGATGTAAGGACTATGCTCTCCCAAATCAGGTTGTCCTTCTTGAAAAAGAATCAAGCATTTACATCTTTTTTCCTCTTACACTGCCCAGGACTCGGACTTCTTGCCCCCTCCCCTTCTCCTTTTGATTTTCGTGCTGTGTATGTGATCCTGCTGTCCTAGTGCTGCCTGTTCTTACTGGAAGATATTTAAAATCTGTTTTCTCAAAAGCTGTAGAGATACACCTATCTGTAGCCTGTGTAGCTAGCCAGTTTTCTAAGAACAGACTTCCTTACTGCTGAGAACTGCCTGGTTAAATAATGACTTGAATCATAATTCATCCCAATCCTAGATTTTCATGTTTGATGAAAATACTATTCAAATTACAGATTAATTGAACCTAATCAATGCAAAATTGCTTTGAGAGCTAGTGACTTCTGTGTAAATTCTAATGATATATTCTAACATAAAACAGTTGTTGATGGTACCAGTGATACTGTTTCAGGAGCAACTTAGGGTGGAGGTAATTATGTGAAAGTCTAGAGAGAAAATACATATCATACTAGTACCCCAATAGACACCATCTATTATAATATTTTTTTTTCTCTTTCAGACCCAGTTTATGGAGCTGGCATACATTTCACCAAGAGCCTCAAAAAACTAGCAGACAAGGTCAAGAAGACCTCTAGCACAGATAGACTAATCTATGTGTTTGAGGCAGAAGTGCTCACAGGCTCCTTCTGTCAGGGTAATAACTTAATTATTACCCCACCGCCATTGAGTCCTGGGGCCTTAGATGTTCATGACAGCGTGGTTGACAATGTTTCTAACCCTGAAACTGTTGTTGTTTTTAATGGCATGCAGGCGTTGCCCCAGTATTTGTGGATTTGTACACAGGATAGGACATTGTTACAGCACCAGATGTGGGGACAGGACTACTCATCAGGTCTAGCGATGGTCTCTTCACCACCACAGTCCTGGTTGGAGGTCTCATATGGCAGCACTGTTTAGTCTCTATGTCATTTTAACAACCAGCAGGGCTTGGGTGGATTGAAAAAACAATGACTGTCAGTGACTTAAACATAACTGGGTTACTAAAGCACCAACCATACACTAGTGTCTCACTGCCTTCTTTACCTTTGGGCTTGGGGTGGATAGATGACAGCTAAAACTTGTTCCTGACTTTCTCTTCTCCTTGACATCCTATAGTGGGAAATTACCAATACAGAGTCAGGTAGAAATAAAAGGGTATTTAATAGGGAAAAGCCTTACTTACAGAGCGACCTAGCCAGCCGGTGGGTCAGCAGCCTGTACAGCAAGCAGCAAAGAGAAACGGAAACCGCAAACGTAGTCATACTACGTCACTCTGACCACGTCCTCACAAGCATGGTCAGGCTGGATAGATGACAGCTAAAACTTGTTCCTGACTTTCTCTTTTCCTTGACATCCTTCATCTCCTTTCCTATAGGCAACAGCAAGAATATTTTACATGTAACTAAGATACTCTTTTTTTAGTAAGTCAAACTAACTAAATAGATGATAGTATAAAATAGGACAACGGAATGATTTTAGATTTTCTATATAATTTTGTAAAGTGCTTTGGATATTCAAATAAATGACCTTTGTGTGAGTAACTGGCTCTGAGTAGTTATGTGTGAAATGAAATAATGGGAACTGGAAGGACATCAAAAGATTGTTACTCAGTTTGGATTCAGTGCTATCAAACAGTGCCACCCAGTGGTGGGTGTGGCTACCTATATCTTTAGTCTCAGCACAAGAGAGTCAGAGGCAGGAGAGATCTCTGAGTTCAAGGCTAGCCTGGTTTGCAGATTGAGTTCCACAACAGTCAAGGCTACACAGAGAAACTCTGTCTGGAAAAACAAAATACCCACCTCCCATCCAAAAAAATTCCCCTAAAATCAATCCAAACAAACAAAAATCCAATGCCGCTCATCTGCCAAGTGGCTTAAGTATTAACTCACCAAGCATTTACTAGTCATTACAAGTGCTTTATTTACTTTGTGGATGCTGAGCAAGACTAGTACCCTCAAAACCTTTATCCTGAATAATCAGAAAGGCAGATATGGATATGTGAACAAATGTGAGTAGCTATAACTAAAGGAGGATATCAGAGTCTTTGAAAAAATTTAAGTGATAGCTTATATGTCCTGAGAGCTGGACAAAAATCAAGGACTGGGAGGAAGCTTCCAAAAGAAATAGTGATAAGACAGTAAAGTGGGGACAAAGCTGGAAGTGTGTTGCAGGCAGAGTATAGCTCTTATAAAGAATGAATCCACTTCCATTGGGCCCAGACTTCACGTGCTATTCGCAATAGAGGGGCTAATCGCACCACCTATGTATTGCCTACTTCCAAGACCACATTGATCTGTCCTTCTAGACCCTCTACCTCTCACTCTTCAACATCTCACAAGAACATTCCCTCCTGGTCTTACTTTAAGCTGTATTCTCCTTATAAGAAACATGCTTATTTTATCACAAGGTCCAGTCCTGTAATCTGGACAAGAAAAATCTCTGCTTTAGACGATTTGCTTGAAAGATTGCCTATCGTGGTCCCTTGTTTTAGAGGTCTCAATCTAGGTCTGCCATAGTTGGGCCCATCAACACAAGGAGGTCACAGGCCAAGAGAGCAGACCATGAAGAGCCTACAATACTCACTCCCGAGCCAACCATTAGGTATCTGGAAACTCAAATTTTCTGCTTAAGGTGTTCTGAATCCATCTGTAGAACACATTGGGTCCCTTTCTTGCCTCTCCCCAAAACAGAGTATGTTACAGTTAGGTGACTGGAATGCTTGCCTAGCCTATGTGAGGCCATAGATTCAATCTCTAGCACACACACACATTTAAAAAACGATGTGGCCGGGCTGTGGTGGTGCACCCCTTTAATCCCAGCACTGGGGAGGCAGAGGCAGGCGGATCTCTGTGATTTCCGGACCAGCCTGGTCTACAAGAGGTAGTTCCAAGACAGCCTCCAAACCACAAACTGTCTCAAAAAACAAAAAACAAAACAAAAAAAATATGGGTGGGCTGTTGGCGAGATGCTCAGAAGGTAAAGTCACTTGCTGCCAAGTCAGATGACTTGAGTTCGATCCTGGGATTCCTATGGTTGAAGGAGAGAGCTGACTCCTGCAAGTTGTCCTCTGACTGCTACACAAAACCCTTTCCAATATAAATAAATGTAATAGTAATAAAAAGAAAGAAGAGCCAAAGGGTGAGAATTGTCAGGGAAATGGGGCCTGAATGTGTTGCCTGAGGTCTCCACATACATGTGTGGATACATGCCTGTGAGGTCTGTGGTACCAAGCTGCGAGTGAGAGAACAGGTCATGTGTGAAGAAGCCCCGTGGAACACGGAAGGGGTGGGCTGACTGAGCTGTTCAGTGTTACTAAAGTGAAGCACAGGGGGAAAAACTAACATTTTGAAAATAGAATTAGTTCTACATTGTTAAGTATGTTCCCAGAAAAGGGCAACCTAAATTTCTTTACTCAAACTGTAAACTTATTTAAAATTTAACTACAATTTTGTAATTTCAGATAACATTTGTGCTTAACAGCAATTTTCTTTGTGGAAAGAGGTTTTATATATGGTAGGTATTGTTATTATTTTGTGGTCCTAGGGACTGAACCTACAGCTTTAGGCATGCTAGGTAAGCACTCTACCACTGAGCTATACCCTAGCCCTAGAAAAGATGTTTAACTTATGTTGGCATACAATGTGCATCAAAGTGCTTTTAAAGTGGTGGGTATATGAGATACAGAGTCTTCATGGTTAATTTATAGCTGTAAAGGATATGATTGACAGGCTGTACACACAAAGTAGGTAGCCATTCTGGAGGAGTGAAAACCAATTCTTTTGTGTGTTGATTTGCAGAAAGTCTCACATAGCCCAGAACTTGTTTATTTATTTGTTTGTTTATTTACTTATTTGTTCATTTATGGGACCTAGGCATGAAACAGGTTTGGCCACCAAGCCAGGCATCAAGCTAGGATGAACAAAGGACTGCCATGTGCTCTGCCCCTGCCTGATGTACCACTACGTTGTCTGCCCATTGACAGGAGTTTGTTCATTTATTTTTATTTATTTATGTTTTGGTTTTTCAAGACAGTTTCTGTGTGAAGCCTTGGTTGTCCTGAAACCTGCTCTGTAGACCAGGCTGGCCTTGAACTCAGAGATCCTCTTATCTGTGCTTTCCATGTGCTGGGATTAAAAGTGTGTACCATCACTGCTGGGCAAACTTTGAACTTGTTATATAATGGAGACCTTGAACTTCTGATTCTGATGCCTCCACCTTTCAAGTGCTAGGATTATAGGCCCAAGCCATCATACCTAGTTAAAATGAATTCTTAAGAAGCTTCAAACCTGCTGTGCCAGTAAATAAGTAATCTATGCCTGTGTACTTTTTGAGAGAAATTTGAGCTTGATGTCATTATGTTGCACTGACATGAACCACTACTATGAAGGCATAAAAGCAGAGCTGCAAGTCAAATTAATTTCATGTTTGACTTTTGACATAAAAAAGACATCTCCTGAAGGCAGTTCATTAAAGTATTAATGGAAATGCCAACAGAATAAAAATATTCAACACTGTCAGGACAGAGAGGTTCTTTGTGTATCCCTAGCTGTCCTGGAACTCACTCTGTAGACTAGTTTGACCTCAAACTCACTGAGATCTGCCTGCTTCTGCCTCCCCAGTGCTAGGATTTATTTTTAATAGTACAGATAACACCTGTTTAATTAGTTCTTTTTATCATACTTATATTTTTTTAATAGTCTTTAAAGTACAGAATAAGAGGCTGGAGCTAGGACTTAGTTGGTAATGTCCTTGCCTAACATGAAGCCCTGGGCTTGATTCCCTAGCACCACAGCATAAAATCAAGTGTGAAAGAAAGAATATAAAATAACATTTCCTGCAAAATTTAAACATACAATGAATTAAATCCCATCCTTGAAGCAAAGGGATATAAACTTTACAAAATATTGCCAGTTTTGTTATACCTGTTACTGAATTGGTCCTTCCTCTATTGATTATTAGCTGCCATTTATAACCAGTCCTGTTGCCATTTTGCTTTTAGTAACAGGATACATATAACAGAAAAGAAATATGTTAAACTGTATAATTCCAAGTAGATACCTGCTTTTTACATTTACATGTTAAAGTAATAACATAAATATACATTTGCGTTGTTTTTATTTCTATACCTATTAGATTGGCAGCTTTTTTTTTCTCTCCAGTTTCAGCTTGCAGAGTTCTTCATTTTGAGATGGGGTCTCACTATGTAGGCCAGAGACCTTCTTGCCTCTGCCTCTCAGAGTACTGGGATTAAATGCCTGTGCTTTCATGCCCAAGTGTGTGCATATGTGTGGGTTTTGAGACAAGGTTTCTCTCAGTGTTCTGGGGTATGCTAATTAGGTCATTAGGCCAGGCTGGCTGACCAGCAAGCTCCAGGGATCCACCTGTCTTAGCCTCCGCAGAGCTGGGATTCAAAGCCTGCATCAACATACTTCCACTTTTGCTTAGATGCTGGGGATTGAACTGAGGTCCTCAGACTCTATTGGCCAGTACTTTACTGAATTCGGTATCTTCCTACTCTCAACCTGCTGGTTTTTTGTTTGTTTGTTTTAAAAACTGTATCCAGGCAGTGGTGGCGAATGCCTTTGATCCCAGCACTTGGGAGGCAGAGGAAGGTAGATCTTTTGTGAGTTTGAAGTCAGCCTGGTCTATAGAGTGAGTTACAAAACAAGTAAAGGCTAGACAGAAACCTGTCTCAAAAAAACAAACTAAACAAAAAGATTTGTTAGTTGAGTTTAAACTTTCATGAAACAAAGCCAAAATTGTGAGAATAATAAAAGTAGTAATACATAAGATGAAAATAGTTTACAAAGAGATGAAAATAGATGAAAGATAAATATCTACAAATTTATGTTCCAAATGTTAGAAAATATGTATAGAAAATGGAATCTTATATACTGTTTGTAGACTATAACTTGATGAAATAACCCAGCAATGCCCAAGTGTATTAAAGTTTGCAATTGCTATGTAATGGATTACCACAAACCTAGTGGCTTAACACCCATGTATTATCTTGGGGTTTCTTTTGGCCAGGAGGGTGTTCACAGCTTACCTGGACCCTCTGCTAGGGCCTATCAAAGTGGCATTAAAATACATATTCCTCACACATGAAGGCTCAAGTCAGGAAGAGTTGGCTTTCAAGCTCGCTCAGGCTGTTAGGAGAGTCCATTTCCTGTGATTATGTGACTGCAGGCTCTAGATTCTTACTGAATGCTAGCTAAAGGCTATTCAGGTCCTAGAAGCCATTTGTAGGCCCTACCAGTGGCCTACTTTTTTAATTAATTAATTCAGTTCATTTTAATTTTATATGCATTGGTGTTTTGCCTGTATGTATGTCTGTGTGAGGGTGTTGGATCCCTTGGAACTGGAGTTATAGTTGTGAGCGGCCATGTGGGTGCTAGGAATTGAATCTGATTCCTGTAGAATAACTAGTGATCTCAACCATTGAACCACCTCTCCAGCTCCTAGCAGGTGGCCTTTTATAGGCAAGTCTTGTTTCTTTAAGGCCAGCAAAAAATTTTTAGTTTCATAATATATGAAGTATTACATAATGAATGTTAGCACAGGAAGTCTTCCCACTTTCCAGTTCTATCTGTTGACTAGGAATAAGTAAGGGTCCTATAGACATCAAGTGGTGGGGATTATACAGGGCAGCACCAAGAATCAGAGATCATGGGGTTATTTTAGAATTCTCCTACCACATCTAATGATATTAAAGATGCAGTGTCCTGGGGCTGGAGAGGTGGCTCAATGGATAAGGGCACTTGCTTCTCCATTCCACCACCAAAAACAAAAAAGCAACAGGGAAAATACTAAAAACATTAATGAAGAGGTATGAAGGTAGTGCAAAATATGGAAAAGAGCCTTACATTTCCCATTGCTTTTCTGAGCCTGCCTTGACTGCTGATTCTACAAGCAATGGCTAAGACACTGAGTAGAGCTTTGGCTGTCTCATGGGGTTGAAAAGAGATGGATACCTGTGACTTTTGGTTGGGACTCTTAAGGACCATACTTACCTAGGTGGATTAGAGAATAAACCAGCCTCCATGAAGACTTAGCTCCCAATAAGGATCAGACATCAACTCAGCTTTGGTCAGGTTAGGGTTTCTATAGCTACAATGAAACACTATGACCAAAGAGCAAGTAGGGGAGGAAAGGATTTATTTGGCTTACATTTCCACATCTAAGTGCATCACTGAAGGAAGCCAGGGCAGGAACCCCCAACAGGGCAGGGCTGATGAAGAGGCCATGGAGGAGGAGTGCTGCTTACAGGATTGCTGAGCAGGGCTTATTCAGCCTGCTTTCTTTTTGTTTGTTTTTGAAACAGGGTTTCTCTGTGTAGCCATGGCTGTCCTGGAACTAGGTCTGTGGATCAGATTGAACTCGAACTCACTGAGATCCATCTGCCTCTGCCTCCTGAGTGCTGGGTTAAAGACATGCACCATTACACCTGGCTTCAATTTATTTATTTATTTATTTATTTATTTGGTTTTTTTGAGACAGGGTTTCTCTGTGTAGCTTTGGAGCCTATCCTGGCACTCAATATGGAGACCAGGCTGGCCTCAAACTCACAGAGATCTGCCTGTCCCTGCCTCCCGAGTGCTGGGATTAAAGGCGTGATTAAAGGTGTGCGCCACCAATGTCCGGCCTTCAACCGGACATGTCTGGCCCCCATGAGCCAGGCTCTCCCCCATCAATCACAAATTAAGAAAATGCCTTATAGCTGGATCTTTTGGAGGTTCAATTTTACTCAATTGAGGTTCGCTCCTTTCAGATGACTCTAGCTTGTGTCAAGCTGACATAAAAGTAGACAGCACATTGGCCCTAAGTCTCTCTGAGAGAGCACTTTCTTTTTCCAGCTGCCTTGCTCAAACTTAGTTCTAATTGTAATAAATAAACACGATGATGCAGAAGGGAGTCACAAGTTTGAGGGAAGGATGGAGGGAGGGAGGGAGTTGTTCTAGTTTGCTTTCTATTGCTGTGATTGCACACTAACCAAAGCAACTTGGAGGCAGGCATTCCAGCTTACATCTCTAAGAGGAGCCAGGGCAGGAATTCAAAGCAGGATCCTGGAGGCAGTAACTGAAACAGACCATGGAGGAAATGTGGTTACTCTATCATTCTCAGCTTACTATCTTATACAGCCCAAGGGTGGCACTGTCCACAGTGGGCTGGGCACATCATGAGTCAGGAAAATGCCTCACAGACATGCCCACAGGCCAATCTGATGGGAACCAGTCTCCCATTCAGGGTCCCTCTTACCAGGTGACTCTAGTTTGTGTTAAGGTTATTAAAACCGCCACTGGAGCCAAGACAAACGACCATTGCTTTACCTAGGATTCAGTCTGTGTGGTCCTTTGTCTCCCTCTTTCTTACATTTATAAGGGTGTTGACGCCGTCTGTTGCTCTTCAGCATTCCTTTTAAACAGACTCGTTAAACCATGTCCTGTGTGTGAAATTCTTCAGTGACCTCTGCTTGGCTTGCTTAAGGTGTTCTTTTGAAGCCACAACCCTACTCTCCAGAAAGAAAAACAATCATTTTCCTAAACATTTTGTTTGAGAGAACTTACTCAGATCAATGCCAATGTTTTTACTAAAAATTAACATCATCGAGCCAAGGTGTTCCTACGTAGTCATGCCGGTCTAGAACTTGCCATTCTCCTGCCTCAGCCGTCCCAGTGCTGAGGGGTGCGCTAACGATCCAGGCTCAAAAATTATTTTGTTAATGTTTTATGGGACTAATAAATTACTAGGCAAAATGGGAGAGAGCCGAAGAGAATACCCAGAAGGTTCCCACAAACGAGTGGCGTGTGAATTCTTTGAACGTGAGGCACTGACGTATTTCGCGATACTCCCTCAGCCTCCAACCATGCCATCGTTCATCCAATAAGCGCGCTCGGTGTGTGAGGCACCTACCATGTGAGAGGGTGGCTATGGAGATGTGAGGTGTGTGGGGAGGGCGGTATCCGTCCATTCTAGAAGAGCTTAGTAAGGACACGTTTGTCTCCATAACTTGTACGTGTCTTTACTTTTCCGGACTGCAAACCTCGTCCTCAGAGACCCACGCCCTGGCCGCGTCCACTCGGGAAAGAACGCTTCAGAGACTCCGCTTCCC